ATATATATATATATATATATATATATATATATATATTATATATAAAAAATATTTGTACAAAAAAATTTTTATTTATCACCTATTTATTTATGAACTACTCCATATCTTGTGCTTGTTATATTTATTGTTTTTTAATTATTTTAATGCTTGCTTAAAAACCCGTAGGGTCATTATAACGTTACTGTGCTGGGATTCTGTAACTCGTTATTGGAGTTTCGACAGTTACGATAGTTTCGTTTGTCGTTACGCAGCTTTTGTATACCGTAGAAAAGTTGCGCAGCGATAACGAAACTGTCATTAACTCCAATAACGAGTTACAGAATTCTAGCACTGATTCGCTAAAATACGTAGTACTAATATAATATTCGTCACATTTCGATTATTATTATTGTGTATTTCAACATTCGCTAAAGAGTGTGCCATTACAGTGTTTGTAAAATAATAAAAGAGTATATATAAAAAGAAAAAAAAACGCCAAGATCGTCAGAGCTCATAGAGACTATCACAGTTTCTATTCGCGCGCGATCAATGATATCTAGCATCCAACCACACGGTCTACAAATAGGATAAACGACTTCTGCAGGATCGAAATGACGGAGACAAACGTATGAAATATAAAAGATGCAATGACACAAAAAATGTCACATTTATTTTTTAAGCAAAATGATGAAACTGTAACTTATTTGAAACATTGCAATAAAAAAATTTATTAATTTCTCATAAGATATATTGTTGATACATACTGAGGAAATGGATATCAGGATATCAAAAAACATTAATGCAATGTTAGGATTTATAATATTAGAATCATATGTAATGTCAACATTACCAAAATCTTCAGAATTGACTCATAATGATATTAAAAACATGAAATTTGTAAACGTTACATGTTACTCGCCGTTTCTCGCTTCTAACGTCATCAAATCAACATGGCCACGGCGAAGAGTCAAGAGCTTTATTAAGCAATCCAGCACATTTTCAATGTGCTGGAAAAAATGATGACTGTTTGTAAACATGTAGTAAATGTTAATGTTTACTATCTGTAGTAACGTAAAAACTAAAACAATGTGTAGTAAATATGTTGGAAAAACACAAAACGTCCGCTAGACGGGCTTTTGTACAGATAAGATGCTGGTACAGAAGATGATTCCATTCATGAGGCCTGTTCTTTGTAGCTGCATTGCTGAACTGATGCAATATATTGAAGTGAAACAAATATACGTTTTCTCACTCTAATTTATTGCATTAGTTCAGTAGTTCAGCTACAAAGAACAGGCCTATGATTTGATATTTTAGCTTTCGATGTAACATGCCTATGATATTTCGTTTCCTAGCATAATGATATAGAAGTTTTTGATTAGACACATTCCTAGTAGTACAAAGCATTAGGTCAATATAGAATTTAAACTTTGTTGGCCAACTAATATATGCTACTAGGGATCATATTATATATTCATATGTCATGACTGTTGATTATGTGATGAATTGCTGATTTCACAAAATTCCTTGAATACTTAATATTTTATACAAAACGCAATAATCAAAATTATTTGGGAAAATGATATATAAATAAAACTTATCAATAATTTATACATACATTTATTAAAAAAAAACTATTGAATAGTTTAACATTCTCTTATATTAAGCATCTTTTTATAAAATCTTTATATAAAAAAAAATTTAATAAAAATGATATATATATATATATATATATATATATATATATATATATATATATATAT